CTCTCATTCTTTCTTTTGTGGCTATTGTGAATGGGATTATGCTTCTAATTTGGTTCTCTGCCTGCTTATTGTTGGTGTGTAGGAATTCAACTGTCTTTTGCATGTTTATTTTGTACCCTGAGACTTCGCCAAAGTCCTTTATCAGTGCAAGGTTTTTGACAGATTCTCCTGGATTTTCAAGGTGTAGGATCATGTCATCAGCAAAGAGGGATAGTTTGACTTGCTCTTTTCCTATCTGGATACCCCTGATTTCCTTCTCTTGTCTAACTGCCTGAGCTAGGACTTCCAACACAATGTTGAACAAGAGGAGTGAGGGGGGGCAGCCTTGTCTTGTTCCATTTTTCAGGGGAAATGTTTCCAGTTTCTGTCCATTTAGCAATATGTTAGCTGTGAGTTTATCATAGATGGCACTTACTATTTTGAGGTATGTTCCTTCCATACCTAGGTGTTTGAGGGTTTTTATCAAGAAGGGATGCTAGATTTTTATCAAAAGCTTTTTCTGCATCTAATGATATAATCATGTGGTTCTTGTTTTTACATCTGTTGATGTATTTAATTAAATTTACGGTCTTGCAAATGTTGAACCAGCCTGCCTTCCTGGGGATGAAGCCCATTTGGTCATGGTGGATGATTTTTGAGATGTGTTTTTACATTCGATTTGCTAGAATCTTGTTGAGGATTTTTGCATCTATGTTCATAAGGGTTATTGGCCTGTAGTTCTCTTTTTTTGTTGGCTCTTTATCCGGTTTGGGTATCAGTGTGATGTTAGCTTCGTAAACTGATTTAGGGAGAATTCTATCTTTCTCAATTGCCTGAAATACTTTCAACAGGATTGGTATAAGCTCCTCCCTGTATGTTTTTTAGAATTCTGCTGGAAAGTCATCCAGTCCAGGACTTTTTTTTGTAGGTAGTTTTCGTATGACAATTTCCTGGGTTGTTATTGGTCTATTTAGTGTCTCAATGTCTTCTTGTTTCAACCTGGGGAGGTTGTGTGATGTCAGAAAGTCCTCCATTTCATTCAGGTTATCAAGTTGGTTTCGATATAGGTGTACATAGTAATCTCTGATAATCTTTTGTATTTCTTCGGGGTCAGCTGTGATTTGATCTTTTGTATTTCTGATAGTGTTTATTTGGGCTTTTCCTCTCTTTTTCTTGGTCATTCTGGCTAGGGATCCATCAATCTTGTTTATTATCTCTAAGAAACAGCTTCTTGTTTTGTTGATGTTTTCTATGATATTTTTGTCTTCTATGTCCTATATTTGCACTCTTATCTTGGTGACCTGGATTCTTCAGATGAGGTTGGGGTTTTGGCGGTCTTCTCTTTCCAGTTCCCTTAGGTGATTTGTTAGGCTCTCCACTTGTGATCTTTCCATTTTCTTGATTTGCACCCCAGAGGATTTGGTAAGGTGTTGCTTCATTGTTATTTGCTTCCAGAAATCTTTTAATTTCTTCTTTGATTTCAGTGTGGACCCAGTAGTTGTTCAACATCATCTTCTTTAGTCTCCATGTCTTTTTGGCCTTGGGGAAATTTTGTTGGTGTTGATATTTATTTTTATTCCACTGTGGTCTGAGAAGGTGCATGGCAACATTTCAACCTTATGGAATTTGTTTATGTTTGATTTATGGCCAAGGATGTGGTTGATCTTGGAGTACGTTCCATGTGGTGATGAGTAGAATGTATATTCTGTGGAATACTCTGTGGGTATCTATGAAGTTCATTTGGTCAAGTGTCAAGTCTAGGTTCTGGATTTCCTTGTTGATTTTTTGCCTTGATAATCTCTCTGGGGTTGTTAATGGGGTATTCAAGTCCCCTGATATAATAGTGTTAGAGTCAATATCTTTTTTTAGTTTATTTAGTAGTTGCTTTATAGAAAATATCTTTTAAGAGAAATTTCACCACATCTACTGTTTGGGTACCCAATGATATGGCTGATATAGAAAAAGGAAAAATGCCTGATTCTCTTATCAGATTTTAAAATAAAGATTTGATTTACCTGAATTCTTCAAGGCTTTCTACTTAGTTGTTTTCTGTATGTACATATGTAGTATTTTTTGCAGGGAGGAAGGATCAGTATGAACTCATGGATTTGAACATACTTGATGTGTTTTAATCCATCACAGTTATTTTCCTTATTGATACTCACTGTCCCATGTTAAGCAAGTGAAAGACCTCATGCTGTCCCCTAAGTCTTTTTGACATGGCTATAGTAGTTTTTGATAGCTTCTTTGCTCTCTGTTATGAAAACGTTCCAGGCTTATTTTGAAAATGTTCTTCCCTAGGCCTGAAATAAGTCGTTCTTCTAGGAAGTCCAGGCTTCTTTCAACAGATGGTGGTTTTTCAAGTCCACAATCTAGGTAATAGTGATGCCTACACTACGACTAATAGGCAAAAGTATTGTTATAGAAAAATCACAAAACAATGTCGATAAGACTCACTTCCTATTTATGGCAACCTGTCTCAAACTGGGCTTCTTCTCTTGTAGTTACCACTCCGATTTCTTAACAAATAAAACTTACCACGTTCTCCAATAGGGTCACTTTACACCAGCTTTTCCTTTCGTTTCCCACCCCCATCTCCCACGCCAATCACCTTCTCATGCTCTGTTGCTCATCTAAATTTGAATTTCAAACACAAATAGATGCAATAGGATGAAAACTACTTCATGATTCTAATATAAATTCCACTAACCCATTTGTATCTTTTTTTTAAACATCTTCTGCCCTCCTTCCTTTTATAATGGAATACATTCCCTACCAT